AATACTGATCGGTCTTTCATAATTAAATGTTTCGAAACAGATATATGAATGACGTCGAAAATATCTATAAAATACATTTTACTGTTCTGACGGTAATCGTAATCGGCTCACTCACTGTTACGATGCTAAAGGTACGTTATTCTTTGCACGAGTATACGTTGATCTATAATTAATGCATAGTATTACTTTAGGTGTTGAAATTGGAACCGTGTATGGAATTCTATCAACATTTGGCATTTACAGTGGCTCAACTGGTTCATCTACTTGTGTTAGCAATTCAGGGACAATGTGTAGTGAACGCTGGCAACGATATTTACGATGCAGTGTAAGTACTAAATAATATCAAAGCATGGTCGCAATGTTGCAATATTTCAAAATGAACGCATCATTTATGCATATTACTCAAACGACTAAACAAAGTGCGCTTCGTTTCCCGATTATTGTTTAAGGGCAAATAACAGAAACCGATACTTTTCCTTTTCATAATTATGCTTACAGATGCGAGTCTCTGTGGTATAATGGTTCATGTAAAATTCAAGCATTATACGTACTGATATTGAGAAAAAGCTTGATATCTCCTCAATTTACTATCGGTGGGCTGAAATCGATGAATTTAAGAAGTTTCGTAGAGGTAACGTTCTTTCATTCATACATTGCACGTAGTATAATTAAAGAATTGCGAGTAAAATCTGGCATTAAATCATTTCGATAATGTCGATTTCATTTTCAGATTGTGAAAGTGTCCGTTTCCTACCTTACGGTATTGCGATCCACGTAAACATTGAGACATTCGCAACTAAATTGAAACATAGTAATTTACGAAGTCTTCACAATGTGTTCAGTTATAGTGCACGACTCACATGTTATTAAAATTTAAGTGTTGTTGCGTATCCGCACTCCTCGCAAATATTACCGAAGTGGTACACGTACTATCACAGTCTCAGTGACGTGGTAAATAAATGTGGAGATACACTTGTTAAAAATCAACAATTTCTTCATTTGCAAAGAGGTTTCTGCAATGAGATGTTGCACTTTCGACGGTAAATTTGTATCTGTTTGCTCGCTAGAAAAACATCGCCCTCGTGGACTCGCAGGTGGTGAAAAAATTGTCGGGTGTTAGTGGTAATTTGCCAGTTATTTGCTAAAATATTCGGATACAGGGTCGAAGGAGTCAGCTGAAGAAGAAAACGGTAATTCTAAAGTTTTGGGGCCTGGCAAGTCGAGGAGAAATATTACCGGTAAACGCGGTAAAAGTGACCGCGATGCATGTGGTCGCCAAATGTCTAATAAACGTAAACGCTTACAATTTGCGAACGCGCATTAATGACTGTGCCGACCATAATACCTTTAACTTTTGACGCTGTAGAATATAATCCCCATAAAACCTTTGAAAAAGTAACAAAACTAGGCCAAGCACCTAGACGACTTTTAGATCTGTACCTCTAAAACTTACGAATAAATTGTAGTTTTCGAAGAATATGCGTACGTAACAGAGTGTGTATTTTGATACCCGATCAAAGAATCAATGACAGTACCGCTGTACGCGAACCATTGTAAATAAAAATCGTGGAACTAGAACTGACTGCTCGTTGGTGCCGCAACGCATGTAGAAATACATCTAGAAAAGGACACGTTATTCGGATAAGAAAGATGTTAGAAGAACGTTCGCGTAATGGGAATACCGTACAATCAAACCATTCCAAATACCTCACAAGACCAATTGCTGATATTGAAAGCTTTCAGACGTTTCAAGATTAATTTTTAACGAGCACTATATGGTTTCACGTGTTTCGCACCAATCATTGAAGACAATAAGGGTTAGTCAGGCGACGCGTAATAGCTTCTGCACGTCTATGAATTATTCAAGCAACCACTTAATGATATGACCGACAGCTATGCGATCATTTATGACGATCGTAAATCTTTCTGCTTCTTTTCGCGTAACAATCAGTCGGGTTTTGGTGTTCGTTTTGCTTCTACCATGGATGCCAAGACTATCATAAGGCGATACTTGAAGACCACTAAAACGTTCACTCAAATTTGCGGATTATGGTGTTATCAAAGTACTTGTTCAAAATATTTTGCGCGACTTGTTATATTTATATTCGCTATAATAACTACTTTTATACAGGTAAGTACTCATATTACATTGATTCCTGTCGTTTATTCGACTAGTTGATAATAATAAAAATTCGTATACATACATAAGTATGGTTGCGAACGACATTTATTATATTGATTTTATTTACAGGTAGCGAAATTTGTAATTTCCGATAGTTTGGATTCTCTATCTGACCAGTGTCCATTTTTGTGCGCAACGTTTTTAACTTTGGCGAAACTATACCATTATGGCGTTAATGAAGCAAGGGTGAAGAGATATTCATTTCTATCAGCCGTGACTTTCACTATAATTTACTAACAAATTCGTAGTTCAAGGTAATTATGGATGATATATTCCATGACTGGAAGGCCATCAAATCGAAGGCCGAGTACGATATTATGAACATATATGGAGAGAGAGCGGTGTTCATTACGACTCTTTATTTAAGTAAGCTTATTTATTAATTAATAAAAAATATAAAATAAATAAATGTAATTATAAAAGATATGAAATAATTAGATGTAATTATTAGACTGCGAATCTTTATGCGAAATAAAATCTTCGCGAACGTGCCTACAAAAATTGAACCTAAATCAGAATATATTTTATTCTGCAAATCTTATAACATGAACTTTACTTTCGATCTCTTTTATAGTCTTGCATATTGCGTGCATTTTGTAGGTTCTTGCACATTAAATTTCCTATAAATGTATAAAGATCCGCAGTCTAGTAATTACAGTCGACAGTTGAAAGTTTTAACAATCAAGCGTAGTATTCATTGCATGTTTTGGATATTAAAACTAAAATACGCACTAACCATAAGATATACGTAGGTGAGTACTCGTTGTCGTACGATCATTATTAGTTTTACATGTTTCCACCAATTTTTGAACAAAGAAGTTTTTTGCTCTATGTTCGGCCCTGTAAACAGTCCTGCATGAATTTTTGGTTTCCAAACCGGTCGAAAAATGGCTATTCTTGAATATCCTCCTTTCTAATCTCGGGAAACAACACTTTAACATTTAATTAGCTTTTCTTTAATTTAATTAGTTTAATCTTATTCCGCACACCTGTGTCACATCAGAATTTTTTATTTGCAGCGGAAGCAGTACTTGCTTCGATTACAT